ATATAGATAGACGAGAGAGAGATGAGATTAGATAGATAGATAGATAGATAGATAGATAGATAGATAGATAGATAGATGATAGATAGATGAGAGAAAGAGGTGAGATATAGATAGAGAGATGATAGAGAGATACAGAGATATGAGATAGATAGGGAGGGAGGGAGGGAGGGAGGGAGGGAGGGAGAAAGAGAGATCATAGAGTTGGATACCAGTAGGGTAGATAGATAGAGGGATAGAGAGAGATGAGATAGAGAGATAGACAGACAGACATATACACGTACTCCTTGACTTACAACAGTGCATTTAGTGACCAAACTTCAAGGGCACTGAAAAAAGTGACCATTTTTCACACAACTGATGTGGCATTCCCCAGGATCCCGTGATCAAAATCCAGCCGCTTGGCAACTGACTCACATTTATGACGGTCAGAGTGTCCTGGGGGCACGTAATTCCCCTTTTGCGACCATCTGACGAGCAAAATCCATGGGGGGGGGGGTGTCCAGATTCACCTAACACCTAAACCACGGTGACGATTTGCTTAACAACTGTGGCAAGGCAGGTGGTAAAAACGAGGCAAGCCTCCCTTAACAAATGTCTCGCTTAGCAACTGAAATTTTGGCCTCAATTGTGGTCGTAAAGCAAGGACCACTATCTATCCCCCATAATCCATTTTAAGAAATCAGGAGGGGGGGAAAACCCCCACAAGGAAATAATTTTAATGGAGAGAGAGAGAGAGAGAGGGAGAGAATGTGTGTGTTCCTCTTGTACATCTGTGCTACTTATTCCCGACTCTAGGGGACGGTGCTCATCTCTGTTTCAAAGCCGAAGAGCCGGCGCTGTCCGAAGACGTTCTCCGTGGTCATGTGGGCAGCATGACTCAAGGCCGAAGCCGCACGTAACGCTGCTCCCTTCCCACCAAAGGTGGTTCCTATTTTTCTACTTGCACTTTTTACGTGCTTTCAAAATTCTAGGTTGGCAGAAGCTGGGACAAGTCACGGGAGCTCCCTCCGTTTATGCAGCACTTGGGATTCGAACCGCCGAACTGCCAACCTTTCTGATCGACTAGCTCAGCGCCTTCGCCACTGGGTCCCTTTTGAGCATGTAATTATAGCGTCATTATATAGAGTGACTAAATTGAAGAACTGCAGCAACTGACTTAAAACAATTGTGGCAAGGAACGTCACAAAAGGAAGCCAACTAGCCTTAAGAAATGTTTCGCTTAGTGACAGAAACTCCGGGCTCAATTGTGGTCGTAAGTCGAGGACTAGACAGGCAGACTTCAAACCATCAGTTTGGGGACCTACGTTACCACCGCACCTGGGGGGAAAAGTGGCTTACAAGCCCGTCCTCGCACTTACAACCGTCGTCGGAACCTCCCTACCCAATTTCGGGCGGTTGGCACTTGACATGGATTTAACATCCAGGGGTCACGCGTGACACCTGTGACTTCCCCCCGCCCCCTCCGCAGGCTTCTGGACAAGCGATCAAAAGGGATAAGGCAGATTTGCTTAACGACCGCAAGACTCGCTTAACAACTTGCAGCGATTGGCTTAAACGACCATAAAAAGAAAGTCATAAAAATTGGGGGGATTTTTTTTTCTCCCCCAACTGGCTGAACTGTTGAAATCCCGGCTTGCATTGTGGTCGTTAAGTCGAGGACTCCCCGCGTCGTCCCAGCGTCACCTCGGCAAACCTAACCGGCAGAATTTGGAAAACGGGAATGTTTACCGAAAGCTTTGGCCACATCCCCTGGGCATTGGCAGCCTCCGTCCTGTAGAAGAGAGAGCAGAAAAAATTTAACCTCGTCCTTTCCGTGTTTTATTTTATTTTATTCCCCCTCCCCCCGGTCCTAAAGGAGACACGGGTTCCGTTCATGCGAAAGCAGACAAATCAAACGGCCAGAGCAAAGGGAGCGGGGGGGGGGGGGTTCAACATGAGCCAGACCAAGAGGAGGATCAGGGAAGCAATGATTAAGCTGGGCTTCTCAAACTTTTGTGGCGGCTAAAAGGATCATTCTGACAATTAAGGCTGTTTTGGCCGGATGGACCAGGAATTGTTCAACCGGCTTGTGGTACGGCAAGAGAAAATTATGTCAAAAGGCAAAAAAAACCCCACTTTAATACAGAGATGATAGATGAAAGATAGATAGATAGATAGATAGATAGATAGATAGATAGATAGATAGATAGATAGATAGATAGATAGATAGAT